TTTCGACGTTGCCGGTGTTCAGGTGAGGGCAGGCGCAGTCGCTTCAAGTTTGCTGGCTCAGCTCGATTGCCTGTATGTCGACCAAATGCCTGTATATATAGACATAGATATAATAAAGTTAGCCATTTTAGGTGCCACCTACTGCATCACACATACATTTTGAGATGGTTCAGGTGGAGGTCTTGTAGATAGAGTCGAGAATTGCCCAACCTGAGGCTGACCTGTAAGACAGCTCCAATACTTCTCAAACTTCAGGAATGCCTCGTGAAGTTCTTCAAGATCTTGGGAGGCGACAATGTTGACCTCTTGAGTGGCTCCATCATCCAATGCCGACACCAACCCATGAAGTGGAGGCAGAACAGTGCGTGTGAGGTGATCAACCTTACATTGCAACTGAAGTTCAATACCTTCACGGTTACGACTGGCCTAAGTATTTTATTATATTAATCAGTATGTTTCAATGGAAAGAGAGAGCTAATTGACACACCATATCTACACAATCATTTTCATCATCACTGTCTGAGCCTGATCCTGATTCCAAACTACCATTCTCCTCTACATCCAATATGTCTTCTGCTGTGTTGAGTAGCCACATCTTTGATCTGTCCGCTACTGCATCAAACTCTGGCAGGGCTGTGGGAAGATCGCCATCTAATATAGATGGAATGTTCGACTGGGACAGCTTGAAACCTGGGCAGGAACTCGAAGTCTCCGGCACAGGTGGTATCTCAGGTGTGTGGAGGGAGGAGGGGAGACCGAAGCAGGATGCATATACCTCACGAGCCTCAATCTCTGTAGCAGGGAAATGAAAAGTGTAAGATGCCGGGGGAATCTGCTTAGTTAGGACCAGCTTGGGGATGATCAAGCGTAAAGCCCACAGATGTTTGCATGCACCATTGTTAGAAGTAAAATAAGGGCACGAGCAATAGCCCCATCCATACACACTAAGTCGCAGGTTGTACTGCTTGTGACCACTGGCTTGAATGTCGGCAGTGCTACTGGCACAAGTACCTTCGATGGTGTAGATGTCAATACATCTCACACCACCCATCCACTCATGTGTCACAATATAGTTTGCCTCATCGTGATGTTTTTCATCACCTTCAGTGGACCACCATACTACAGGGATTGTCAATTTCGGAAGTGGTGGGGCAGAGACACAGGCACAGTGGTGAGTGGCAACAAGGTCTGCCCCACCTGCCTGTACCCGAAACCATTCGCAGAGCCATGAATAATATGATTCTTGCTTCCTTCGAACAGAGAACATGCTTGGGACTATGTCCATAATGAGCAGATAGACAAAGAGATCCAACCGCAGGCAGTTCCCTCCACGCTGCCATTGGCTTATGTATTTTCGCTTGAGAAGGCCATCAAAAGCTTCTAAATGATTTGTCGTGGGTATCACTCCTTCAATAGACGTCTGCAAGACCTGTGACGCATCAATACAACCTTTTTGAGACCAGCCATTCCAAAGTGAAACAGGCATCCATGTGTCCCTGAGATATTTAAGAAAATTAAGGCCAGCATTCGCTGCAACCACCATTTCTGGACGCTGTTTGAGTGAATGCAAAACTTGTGTCTCATTGGTTATGAGCTGTTGAGCAGCTGCATGTTCCACAGATAGAATGAGCCTGTATTTGTTCAGTGTAGAATGTGAACCCTTTAAAAGTTTTTTCTCACCGGTCCTCCAAGGCTCGAAGCCTATTCTGAACTTGTTGTTTGGGAAAATTGTTTGTTTGCCCAATATGCAGTACTTTTTTGCGGCGATTTGTCCAACACTGCCGGATATGGAATTTGCACAATAATAGTATGATATCCAGCCACAAAAGAATCAGTGTGCCACGTTCTTTTGTATCTGTATCAGTAATGACAATGGTAGGCTTGAATATCTCACCCTTCCAAGTACCCAGGGAGTCATGCCATGCCTTTAGGAGTTCATATAGAACGGTTGTATCGTATCCAGCTTGGGTCGCTTTGTTTCCTGTGGGTGCCGAAAACAATAAAAAAGCAAGTGGGACACCTTTTCCAGTCTCATCGACTCCCAAGGCAATAAATAAGAGCATTCGTCGATCACAGACCCCAAAAGTTCCATCTAAAATGATTTGTTTCTTATGTGCGTACTTCCAAGCTGCATCCACCATTTTGGGTGTCTGAATGCATTACACGCAAGCGTTCATCCTTGTCGGTTTGAGGCTGGTAATGAAAGATTGCCACAGCCAGTTCAGGTTTATATGTGGCAGAAGTGGGATTCAGCCAATTGTCGATATTATAATGTGGAGGCTGGGCAATGTCAATACCACAAAGATTGGAGAATTTTCTATAAAGTCTTGTTGAGTCTGAGGGCAGAAAGTCGTAATGGACGTTTGCTGTTTGAGGATTCCAGCTCTTCTGTCCCGCATACATTTGCGCATCAGATAGCTCTTGGTTACGAGCCTGGATAGCCGTAATACTGTTGCAAAAGAAATCATATTCACTTCAAACAGCACATCAAGTTGTTGATCACTCATGTAGCACCATCGTTGAGTTGTTGGAGTGCAACCTGCCATACGTGTTCATGAAGTGGGACGGCAGGCTTGCGTTTCATGTCTTGTTGAAGATATTTCTCATTGTGACATATGATGCCTGTTATCCATCGCACACTCAAACTTGAGACCTGAAAAGTGAGATCGAGGTGTGCCAGACAACCAGTGAAGTCATAAGGTGCTTTTCGACACCATTCTTTCCGGCTTTCTTCAAGATCAAACAATTTCTGTCTTTTGTTATATTTCTCTTTGGAAGCTTCAGTACTGGAACCACATTGGCTTTCAAGTCGAATATAAGGAAATTTATTATAATCAAAGGAAACAACATAACCCTACCACTGCATCAAGATTTGAACATACTTCTTTGATCCTGAACCTTCATGGCTTCTCCACCGCTTGCTCCAGCCATTTCCCAAATCATCAAGTTCTCCAAGCACAAGTCCTTGATCTCGTAAAATGACTGTCGCAGCCTGTTGAGATATTGGGTCGTCCAAAAACAACCGGTGGTAGTGCGTATTTGCCTCATAGCATTGTTCAATACTGTTTTTTTTTTGATGATCATCTATCTGTAGCATTCGAAAGTTGACCTGAACAGTGTAAACACAACAAGAGTTAATGAACAATCAGTGAGCTTACTTTGATCCCCCCTCCGCATTGAAAAATCGGCTTTGATGGATGCGCGGGGATACTTGTGGTCTACATCGAGACAGGAGAAAGTGTTAACCATTGGGAGGATGAAAAATGAGATTTAATGCACGTACATTTAATGGAGCAACCCCGAGATTCCCAGTGGGAAAAGGGGTACCCTGCATCATAGTTGTTGCTTCGGTTTGCGTTCCTGCGTCTGGATTCATGGTGAACGAAAAGCGTGTAGTGAGTAGATATCGAGGGTAGCAGCCAGCAAATGGAAATTGAATTGTGATTTACATTTGGCAGCGAAACATGAGAGATGCAGTGTGAGGGGGAAATGATAGCCAGTCCAGTTGCGGCCCAGTATATCTACTAAACGAAGGGGAAAACGTTAATGTAACCAATAAATATCCAGATCCAAACAGACTTACTGTTCTGGGCATTGTGACTCGATGGGGCTCACGGGTTCGTCCTGAATAAATCCTACTGAGGATTCAGGAAAGGTGTTCATATTCAATTCTAATTTCTACCAGATCTTGAATGGGAAAAATATTAGCTTGACTTCAATAAAATGCAATGGAAAGACGGACTTACTTGGGTTAGGAATTGGATCTCGATGGGCACTATACAAGGTTGCAGTGCATACCTGTTGTAGATGCGTTCACCGATGGAGTCGGACAATACGGAAAATTTAAAACTTTACCTTCAATTGTACCACAGTGGAGTACATGGAAAAATCTAACGATTGGGATCTAGGAGGTGTGTTGTAATAAGTATTCAAGGAGCGAGCGGACGTCGGTGTGGCTGCGCCAGCGTCACCAGGGGTTGTGGGTTGCGGTGGTCGCTGGAGGGGATTTCTGGGGCGACCGATGGGGCGGCGGCAGCCGAAGCTGACCAAGCTCCTTGTTGCAGCCTTACAGCCGTCGAACATTTCCTTGATTTGTCAGGAAATCAACAATCTGATTTCGTATCCGAAGAGGCTCTTAGATCCTCCACCGAAGACCCCAGCGTTCGTGGGATAGTGCTGTCTTCTCTTGAACCTAATCTAGATTACCACCTTGCATAGGCGGAATATGTGAGGCTTCTCGTGATTGCGCTTCATGACGAAACTATCGACAATCGTGTTCTCGCTGTCCGAGTCGTTGGGCGCCTTGCGAACTACAATCCCGGTCAGGTCCTACCTCCCCTTAGGAAAACGTTGATTCGGCTCTTGACCGACCTGAAATGTTCGGTGGGATCGTAGGTCTAGTTTACTTTAAGTATCTAAATGATGACTCATTTTTATGATTTCATACTCTATAGCCAAACCAAAGAAAGCGCCATTCGTATTCTTGCGGCCCTCGTAGCATGCACGCCGGCAGTTGTTGAGCAGTATGTTTATGAGGTTCTTGAAAAATATTGCTCGACTGTGAGTGACTGCCTTGACCGCCCAGAAATGGCCATATAGTGGGAGTGACCTCCAGTCTCGACTTGCCCCAATCGGAGCCGCGGGGGCCTGGTATACTGGAGCCTGGACAGCCCTGCAAATTTATTATTCAGCTATGGAGGTTAATTCAGGGGATCGTGCATTCTATGAGGCAGTTTCTGCCATTGAACGAAATCGGCTACCCCATGCCATGGTCAACATACTCAAGGCGCGAGATCTACTTGATCCCGAGTTGACATCTTTGTTGGACGAGAGTCCGGATCGTCTGGATCGGTAATCGGCTCCACCAGTCAGAACTCTTTTACTAACTATTTGCAACAGTTTTGCAGTTCAAGCTTAAATGATATCCGAGTTAGTCTAAATTCATACCATTTGGCAACGAAACACGATCCAAAATGGTCTAAAGCCTGGCACACTTGGGCTCTTTCAAATTTGGACGTTATTCGTAAGTCGACGGCTGTACGCCCCTTCCCGGGAGATAGACAACCAGTACCCAATCGCACACATCACATAGTAGCTGCCATTGAAGGTATTATCAGAAAGCCGTGACTATCGGAATACTTATGCACATGTGTTCAGGCTTCTTTCGCTCGCTTGCGCTTGTGGGCGAGAATGAGTTACAAGACACGCTTAGTTTGTTGACACTCTGGTTCAAATTCGGTGCTCAATCGGACATCACTATTGCCATGGTCAACGGATTCAAAACCGTTACTTGTGATATGTGGCTCGATGTCGTTCCCCAGGTAGCAGCATAGTCGTTCCGGTTCCTATTATTCAGTCCTTACCAATATTAGATTATTGCCAGGATTCAAACGCCTAATCCCAGTGTGAGGAGTGCTCTCACTCGTCTGCATACAGACATCGGTTTAGAGCACCCGCAAGCTCTTATCTTTCCTTTGACTGTTGGCGCTAAATCTCCTAGTCTCCCGCAACAAAGGGCAGCTTTGGAAATATTAAATCAAATGTAACTCTCATAGCCGGACCCTCTTGGAACAGGTATGCCTATAAATGTTATTTCGTTTAGCTCGATCCACTCATCCGAAAATATCACGTTAGGGCAAGCTTGTGGCGCGAGAACTGAGTCGCATCGCTATTAACTGGGGGGAATTATGGTATGAAGCACTGCAAAAATAAGGACGGGATTATTTTAGTGGAAGTTCTAAAAGTATGCTGGATGGTTTTCAGCCGCTTTACGATGTGATGCAGGTGGGTGATTTTGCTAATCTTGCCATCATATAGGCAACTGTTAATCTCGTGGATTATATCTAGAATCTATCAACCCCGTTCGAGGTTGCATTCATAGATGTTCTTGGTCCAAGGTTGTTTAAAGCGAGGGTGTTATACCTTCGTCACATCTCTGAAGGCGACAAGAAAGCTCTCAAGCAAGGTTGGGAAATTTATCCCGGCGTCTATCAGCCTTTCTTCCCGAGATCCAGGCGTCTACACGAGAACGCAGTTCTAAAAACTTCGACTTGCATTCTGTGTCCCCGATTCTCTTTCACGCCGTCAACATGGAACTCGCGGTTCCAGGTAGATATTTTCGCATGTCGCGAGCACAGGGAAAGAAAATTCATTCAACCTAGGTACCTACCTGAGGGGACGGTCATCACTATATCCAGCTTTAAGCATGATATACCAACTATCAAGACGAAGCAACGCCCGCGACGGTTGTTCTTACTAGGCAGCAATGGTCAACAATTCGTATACCTTCTCAAAGGTTCGTGACGACATCAGTGTGTTGGCTTTCAGTATAGATAACGTCATCGACCAGGTCGAGAGGATCTTCGTCAAGATGAAAGAGTAATCTCATTGGTGAACACCCTTCTTGCAAGAGACAGGGAGAGCTTGAAACGACGGCTTCACTTACAAAGATACACTGTGATACCATTGGCCCCGGACGTCGGTTTGATCGGCTGAATGGCAAAGACGGATCCACTGCAAAACTTGATATCGAATTATAGGACAGCACATAAAATCTTGCCCAGATCTTGAGCATAAGATGATGTTACAAGTTAGTCACTTGCTTCTTGCTCATTCTGGTGGCTGATATGAAGTCGGGATGGACCCGATTATGATCAACCTCAGGCTATACTTCTCTCACGTAAATTGCAAGTGTTTCAATCTGCCATGAACAGGACCACGGGCCAGGACCTTTATCGCATCTTATGGCTGAAAAGTGATAGTTCCGAAGCCTGGGTGACTAGACGCACGGCCACGCTCTTGCAGTTGGTAACATGATTTTCTATCTGCTTGGTGTTGGTGATCGACATTCAGGCAATATCATGATCGAAGGAAATACGGGAAAGTCATTCATATTGATTTCGGCGACTGCCAGTGCTTCGAAGTCTCTTTCGAGAGGGATAGCTTGCCAGAAAAAGTTCCCTTCCGACTCGCACGCATGCTTAGGCATGCCATGGAGGTCCGTGTGTTAGCTGTAATCTAGAATATCGCTTCATTCGCTGTGGATTTTTGCTAGGTATGTGGGATCCAAGGAGGGTTCAAGACATCATGCGAGATCAGCATGGTTGTTCTGCGCGACAACAAGGAATCTTTTGGCTATCCTGGAGGCGCTAGTATATGATCCCCTAATCAATTGGCGACTCATGTGGATTGTTCTGTACAACTCACATCAGTTTACCAGCCCCCGCGGCGGTTGCTTCGTCCTTTGTAACCGTAAATGATGGCCCAAATAAACGAACCGTGATTAATGAGAATGAAATCTTTGACGGTATAGAGAGCCAAAACCGTTAGATTATATTTTGACTGACATCTGTTCGCTCCAGATGCCACTGCCGAAGGGACAAATCGTGAAGTCAGAAATGAACGTGCGCTTGCCGTCTACAGTCGCATCGAGGACAAGCTGACAGGTGAGTGATATCACATACGTTTACTCCGTCGGGTCTGCGCAATATCAATCACCGTGTGCTTAGGTCGTGACTTTGGCTCTGATCACATCCTGACCGTCACAGCTCAAGTTGAAAAACTAGTTCAACAAGCCATCTCAAACGAGAACATCTGCCAACATTTCTATGGCTGGTAAGTATAACGGTTCTTCGAAAGAAGGCAAACTCTAAAACCTCTCGCAGGTGTCCATTTTGGTGAGCAAGCTTTTGGATGTATATTTATTTCTCGCGGTCTGGTTCTTTTCGTCTCAGAAGGACTCTACAATAATAATACGCAGCCATATATTACGACACATAATGAGCGAGGACTACAATTTACAACTTGCTTGTTTTAATTTATTTGAAATACCGCACACAATTGCAAAGGTGAAGCTCAGTGCACACCGTTTGGACACCTGCTATGCAAGATGATAGTTTCAAGGTACGTACGTATAAGGGTGAGATTCATGCATAATCCAACCTCGAGGCACTAAAGGTTTGGCATAAGAATTAATCTCATGATGCTTCATGTAAAAATGGCATTGAACACTGCTTGCATCGACAGGACGTAAGGAAGCAAGGTGGATGAGAGCAGGCCACGATCTAAAGAATGCTTGTTCTACCTCCACGCTGGCTTCCTCGTTCAAGCTCCGGTCCACATGATGATGCGATCCCAACAAAAGATTCACGTTCGAATAACTCAGGCGTGTGCTCAATGTTGGGGTAATGCAGTTAAAAATACCCCTCGCTGGTTTTATACCGTATATAACCGGAGGGCTCGTGAGGATCAGTGCTAAACGGTTTCAACCGGGGGATTTAGGTGAAGATTCAGCTGAAGACCCAGAGGTTCCTTGTTATTAGCAAACAGGCGTTTAAAACGAGTGACTTTTTCACTGTACCTGGATGCGCTTGACGTGCTGAATAACATAAATAAGCAATGTGCGAATTTAAAACACAGGTGTATAGAACCCACTGAGGCCGAGTTTAAGGTTCTCTGTGTCTATGGGTGCTTGCAATCCTAGCTTGGCTGTTGGGCGGGAGATTGGTTTGCCGTCGGAGCCCAACCTGGGTTTGCCGTGTTCCGGCCTCTCGATGGGGGAGGGGGACGGAGGACCGGCCCCGAAAGTGAGGGGACTTAGGCCGGAGCTTGGAGCGGACTCCGTTTGTGGTGAGATGGGTAAAGGGAATGACGCGGCACGTGACGTGGGGCTCAGAGGGGACCCAGGTGATTGGGGTAAGGGCAACGACGCGGGGGTCCGAGGTCCGCCGGACCCCTTACGTTCGATGTTCGTCGTTAACGTTAACTTTTTCCTTCCACTAGCCTCACCACTAGCCTTACCACGATCTAAGACCTGGCCTATGCTCGGAGGTGGCCCTTCAGGATTCCCGCTGCGCTCTTGGAGCTACATCAGCGACGTCAATAATCGCACCAACACATGCACGAGGTGCTTACTTGTGCGGGCGGCAGGCCACGGGTGATAACATCGGAGTCAACACGGAATACTGGTGCGGCAAAGGCCACTTGAGCCACAGCAAAAAAGACCGAAACAATAGCCAGGAAGCGCATTTGGTGAGAGCGAGAGAGGAAGATAAAGGAAGGTGATGCGTTAAGGATACAAATCAAATTGGAAAGGACAGTCGATAATAAATTGGCGCAAGCTAGGCAAAAAAAAAAGTGAGAATGAAGGAACAGTGAGCAGAGAAAGCGAGGTGGACGTACTGCACAGCACTCTTTGAAGAAAACAACAGGGAGAAGGGGGAAAGCGTCGAGTACATAGGTTGACTTGGCCATATAACAACTTACAAATGAAACCCCATATGAGTGACCTCCCGGAGACGCTGCCCCGAGACTCGTGCGAATTTCCGAAAGAGCATATATTGGCTATAAGCACGGGCTGCAATGCCCTTGATGTCTCCAGGAGACGCCTGGAGACGCCGCTGCGAGAGCCTCCGGTGACCAAACAGCCACCGACCCGCCTCCTCCTTGAGTCGATCGTCGCGACCGCATGAACAGGGCGACTGTAGGTAAGTTTTCAAAAACTGTTCAATTTGCTAGCCTGCCTTGACTTTCGTAAAGAGAGGCGTGCAATTGGTCTGCGGGGTGCGTCAGCTCAGGTGCTACGCGGGATAACTTTACATAAGTACACGCGGCTGCAAACCCGGAGACCGACCACTCTGTTTCACTGAGCGGGAGAGCTGATCACTAGCTGATCGAGGGTGCCGAGGGGTGCCGTGGTCAAAGTTGTGTGGGCGTACCGGTATACGCTAGGCTATATACGCTGACTGCACATGCACCGCAAGATCCGTAACTCAGCTTGCCGCAACCCTGCAGAGGTGGAGCGGTGGCGATGCTTGGCGATGCCTTCGATGGCCCCACTTCCGCTCCCGGGCCCGCTGCGAATCTACTTTCGAGTTCTGGGATTCGGAACGGTCAACTCCGGAGCGCTGAGCACCCATCAGCCGCGCTGCTGCCGCCGCCACTAACAGGCGCCAGTGGTACGTACGCATACCCCTGGATTATTTACGCGTAAGCGTGTAAATCCCGTAAATCCTTATTTTATTTCGAACAAGGTTTTGTAAGTCATGTGACCTACAAAGCACAACAAACAGTGGAGCTATATAAGCTCCAGCTGCTGGTGCATCAAAAATTGTGGGGCCTCTACAGGCCCCAATAAATTAGATAAAAATATAAAATAAATTTTTGAAATCAAGGTCAACATGTAGCTACCTATGCCCACTGAAATCATAAGCCACGGATCCCAAATACCTGTGGGTTTTAGGCAGAATCCCATAATCCATACCCAGATCCATGTGGGTATTGCCCATTGGGTACCCAATACCCATGGGATCCTTACCCACGAGTTTTCCCATGGATCAACCCACAGGTTGATTCAGACTCATGGACAGCCTTAATGCAGACTGGAGAAGGCAGAAGGAGGAAGTGGATTGACAGAAAGCTGAGTTGACGTGGAGCATCTGGGAGGAGGCCTGGTTAAAAAAATCTTCAGTAAGTTGTTCTGTCAGAATTTTCATGACTGTGATGCTGACAGAAAAATTGGGTAGCTGGAAAAAGGTGATCAGGATCAGAAAGCTGAAAGGCTGTGCGATCCATTGTTGGAAAACATCAGGGGATGAAAAAGACACCTGGAAGATGCATGGTCAGACATAGACAACTTCAATGAACATTGTGTGTTGTGTCAGACACATGGGATTGCATGCAAGGATGAAGATCAGAAAAGCAGGGGATCA